TCCAATTATTACGTAAACAAGCAGCTGGTGGAAAATAAAATATACAAACACAAAAAACAAAAGAAACGAAGCAATTTTTTTTTCAATCAATAAATATATCAGACATTTGTCATTTTCTGTATTTCCTTGGAAATTTTGTTCGGTTTTTCTTCATTTGTTTATGAATATTAACATTTAATCTTGAATATATCATAGTTTACTGCTGTTATGGAATTATGAAAAGGTTTTATAAGATCGTTTCTACTCGATTAATAAACGTGTTTTGAAAATATTTGTGCTATTTGCTAATGATGTTTTCATTTTATTTGATCTTAAATAGATTTTTTCCGTAGTGCTAAGGTTTCTGGCAAAGCAGACAGTGTAAGGATGAGAAAATAAGTTTTCTATGTACTATCGTATGATAGAATTTAAGTGTAAAGAAACAATTTCAAAAACGTTCCTTCAGATAGCAAATATTCACTGACGAATACTGATAAAATAACTATATTTAGTTATACAATAAAAATGTTGATCGAAATAACTGTCTACGAAGAATTACTACTTCCGAGCACTCTTGAAAGCAATCGAGAGTTTTGATTTCGAATAAAACATCACTGAAGTAAGTATAGAAATTTTAATTTTTTTATACAATGGAAAATATCTTAAATAGACTAGTGAATCAATATGAGCAGTCAAAAATAGCTACAATTGATAATGACCGGTTGATTCAGAGATTTTCAGCACTAATTCGAATGTAAAGCAAGTTACTAACTATAGTTTATATAGTTAATAACGTAAAATTTATCGATAATAAAAAGAAGTAATACTGACAAGAGTTTCTTCAGAAGTCAATCGCTCTTTTTTTTTTGTAGAAACATATATCTGTATTCATGATTAATATCAATACTTGACATCTAATTTGTACTATCATGATATATATATTAAATTGTTCATTACCATATACTAGTATATCTCTATTTTTTCTTATAAACGACCGTTGACTATTGTTTATATTCGATCTCGGAATACAAAAGTACAGAATAACATTCAATCATTTCCATAAAATATAAATATCGTCAGTAGAACTATATTAACTTAGTGATTCGAAAGCTCAATAAATTTAAGGAATGTTACTTTATTGTAAAGATTAGTTGTTTTTATCACATACATTTAATTAAGTTGATCTATGTCGATATCTTGTAATGTCCTCTATCAAACACTTTAGCGTGGTGATTGAAAAATGTGATATCATTGTAAGACATCTTTTCAAACAATTTTTCTCTTAGTCTGAATCTGAGATCAGCGAACTATAACTGACTTTTCTACATTATAAAATAAATTATAATTCATGATATCTTCAATATGTCTAAATTGATCAAGACATCATAAATAAATGATTATTCTTCTATTACAGCGAACACTCGTAAGCAATTAGAAATGTAAATATGTCTGAGGTGGCCATTTATACATATGGGTAAATCCGTGGGAAACCTACCACGGTTTGGAAAAAGTTCTTTTTTCGATTTTTTTTGACAGAATGATCTAAGCGATCCAGAAAACGTTATTCACCAAAAAAAAACGAACTTTTTTGATTAAATCCTGAAGTTATAAGTCGTTTTCTCGGAACATGTACATATATTACATGTTCGAGCCATCATATCAGTAGATGACCTACTAAATATTCAAACACCCTCCAGATAGTTATACCATTAGATGCAGTTTTTCATGCTGCATCTAATGAGCATATTTGTAAACGTCTTTAGTAACTTATAAATTTCGAAAAACAGCAGTTTTCTAAAAATGAATTATTTCTCATGATATGAAATTTATCATATTTTTTTGCATGTTTTTTCGAATTTTTTCCCCAAAAAACTGACTTAGAAAATTTTTGAAATATACAGTTTTGTAGAGCTCGACGAGTTCTATCAAACCATATATAAATCGAGGAAAAAACATTTTAGTCAATTTTTGCATTTGCTGCACCTTACATGTTCCAAAAAATGACTTAGAACTTCATAATTTCATTACAAATAATACTTATTTCTTTTTTGACGAACCACGTTATCTGTAGTGCTTCTATCTTTCCGAGAGACAAAAAGTGATGAAAACCCTTGGTTTGAATATTTAGTAGGTCATGTACTGATATGAAGCTGGAACATGTAATATATATATACATGTCCCGAGAAAACGACTTAGAACTTCAGGATTTCAACAAAAAAGTTTTTTTTCCGGTGAATAACGTTTTCTAGATCGCTTAGGTCATTCTGTCAAAACAAAATCGAAAAAAAAACTTTTTCCAAAACCGTGGTAGGTTTCCAACGGATTTACCCATATACATATATACGTGTCTTACCCTATCAGTCGGCTTTGTCCATTACCCTTTTTATTATTTACAGAGTTGTTCCCCGTACGCGCGCGCGAAAAACTAAAAAGTAGAATTAATTCAAAAATAAGTAAACAAAACATTCTTTTATTTATTTATTAAACATTCTTTATAATTTCTTCTTTTACAATTTCAATAGTCTGTTTTATATTTCGAATACAAGGATGAGTTGGAGATAATGTACGTTGCCATATGTCCAGAGCACGTTTCAAGTAAGACAGTGCTTTCGAGTAGTCATTGATCTTATAATATACCACAGCGATATAGCTGTACGAAGTAGCCAAAGCAGGATGATTTGAAGGAAGAGTTTTTTCTCGAATTTCAAGTGCTTTTTCATAAAATGATAGTGCTTTCGAGTACTTTCCCATTTGGTCAAACACACCACCGGTGTTGTCGTATGAAGTAGCCAAATCAGGATGATTTGAAGGAAGAATTTTTTCTTGAACTCCAGTTGCTTTTTCATAAAATGAAAGTGCCTTCGAGTACTCTCCCATCTTGGCATAAACCAAACCGATGTTGTTGCATAAAGCAGCCAAATGAGGATGGTTTGAAGGAAGAGTTTTTTCTTGAATTTCAAGTGCTTTTTCGTAAAATGAAAGTGCTTTCGAGCACTCTCCCATGTTGTTATACACACTACCAATGTTGTTGTATGAAGTAGCCAAATCAGGATGATTTGAGGAAAGAAATTGTTGTCGAATTTCGAGTGCTTTTTCGTGAGATGACATTGCTTTCTCGTAATCTATCATGTTGGTATACACAGTACCGATGTTGCTGTATGAAGTAGCCAAATCAGGATGATTTGAAGGAAGAGTTTTTTCTTGAATCTGAAGTGCTTTTTCGTAAAATGAAAGTGCTTTCGAGTACTCTCCCATGTTGTGATACACCATACCGATGTTGCTGTATGACTGTGCGAAATCATCATGATTTGAAGGAAGAGTTTTTTCTTGAATCTGAAGTGCTTTTTCGTAAAATGAAAGTGCTTTCGAGTACTCTCCCATGTTGTGATACACACTACCAATGTTGTTGTATGAAGTAGCCAAATCAGGATGATTTGAGGAAAGAAATTGTTGTCGAATTTCGAGTGCTTTTTCGTAATATGAAAGTGCTTTCGAGTACTCTCCCATTCTGCCATACACACTACCGTTGCTGTTGTATGAAGTAGCCAAATCAGGATGATTTGAAGGAAGAGTTTTTTCTTGAATCTGAAGTGCTTTTTCGTAAAATGAAAGTGCTTTCGAGTACTCTCCCATGTTGTGATACACCATACCGGTATTGTGGCATGACTTCGCAAAATTAGGATGATTCGGAGGAAGAGTTTTTTGCAAAATTTCACGTGCTTTTTCGAGAGACCAAAGCACTTTCGAGTACTCTCCCAAGTTATAATACACAATACCAATGTTGTTGTATGACTGTGCGAAATCCGGATGATTTGAAGGAAGAGTTCTTCCTTGAATTTCTAGTGCTTTTTTGTAATATGAAAGTGCTTTCGAGTACTCACTCATGTTGTAATATACTAAACCGACGTTGTTGTATGAAGTAGCCAAATGGGGATGATTTGAAGGGAGAGTTTTTTGATAGATTTCAAGTGCTTTTTCGTAATATGAAAGCACTTTTGAGTACTCTCCCAAGTCAAAATACACAATACCGATGTTGCTGTATGAAACAGCCAAATTAGGATGATTTGAAGGGAGAGTTTTTTGCACAATTTCAAGCCCTTGTTTATAATACCAAATAGCCTTTTCAGAATCACCTTGATTGGAAGAGACAACCCCAAGTTGATTATAATAAAACGCTTTTTCACTCTCATCAGATGTCTGTTCCAGTAATGCGTTACAAAGTTCTTTAGCTTTATTAAATTGACCGACTTTAAGCAATAAATTACCCAGTCTCTGCCATCCAGTACCACCACCAGCTTCTTCTCGTATCCGATCAGTAAGTAATCGCAATTCTTGATCATCATCCGATGTTAACTGTAATTCAACTTGATAAAGTTGATTCTCATTGTCCATTTGTTTAATTGCACCCACTCGAAAGACGGTGTGCATGGAGAAGAGAATTTCTTCTTCTTGATTAAAATAACTTATTTCTTTGATGGCGGCAAATGGTGCTGATTTAATACAAGGATCAATAGACATTATAAATAGAATGCCAATCATGTCCACGTTTTCTGAGGCACTATAAGCAAGTCCGAGAGCTATGTCTTGTTCTGTACTCGTGGATAAAAAGTTATTAAAGGACATTAAACCACGTTTTGCTCTTTTAAGTTTTTCGAAATTTGCTTTGGATAGACCTTGTCCCCGGTAAACAATGAATGATTTGCTATGATAACTATGAACCTGTTGTTGGTGTAGTTGTTGAATTTGTTGGTGAAGATCATGTATAAAAAAGCCCATGTTAATAATGGTATCACCTTCCATAGAGCGAAGAGCATAATTCAACATAGAATAGATAAATGATGGATACGTATACCACCAAATAGCTGATTGATGATGGTATTCGTTTTGGAATCGATCAATAATAACTGTAGACCCGCAGTCATTTTGACGACTGTAAGTAATAAAGTTCTTGATTGCCTGGCTATCATGTTCCATATCAATAAGAATTTCCTTGAATAGCTGGGTATACATAAAAGTTGGCTCCAACTGATTTAAATTATCAGTTGAAGCCATTTCCTCTACTGTGATAAAACTCATGGCTATTGAGTCTTGATTGTATTTCTTAATACCCAGTTGTAATACTTTGCATAAGTCATCGATGTTGGTATGAACGCTCTTGATTTTTCGCCATTTTGCTATCCATTCTTCATTTTGGGATTTAATGTTACTGAAGATATAAACACCATGCAACTGAGGAATATCATTGATGAGGGGCATTACTTGTTGGCACATAGTGTCCTTGACAATGAGAAAAGACTTGATGTCTTCTTGAGCATCTGTAAGATAGTCGATGCATACATCTCGTTGCATAAAGATGTTGACACTGTCAGTATTGGTTTTTAATTGCGTCAAAATATCTTGACATTCTTGATTCGCTTCATCCATACACTCATCTAAATAGAGAAGCGAATAATTTCGAACGATCCGTCGTCTTATTTGAATAGCATCCGATGATGTTATGGCCGTGTAGTTGTTATCCATGGGCGCGTTTGACGATAAAGAAGCTCTTGGATTGGATTCTGATCCACTCGTTTGGTTCTGGTTATAATTTAATGTTGAATTTAAGCTCATCAATAGCGTATTTTTCCAGTCCTTTTAGTATGCAAAATGTGTGTGTATTTTTGTCAACGCTCAACAAGAAACTTCAACCGGTTACTTTTCAAAATATTGTTATGAAGAGCAATAGATAGATCACTACGAATAAATTTCTTATCAGCGTTTGCATCCGAACGAAATCATTTTGTTTTATAGTTATTCTTTCCAACATTTTTGGTCTTATCTATGCAATTATTTCAGTAATTCAATATGCCACCGAGATATTTTATCATTGAAACGGAATTGAATTAGAAACATGATTCCTTCAGTGAATGTTACTTCTCTTTATCGTACATCGTTTTGTTGTTAAATGGCTACAAAGGAATTTGTTATAACAAAAGGATTGTATCAGCAAACGAGAAATAGTTATTGATTTAACAATATCGTATGAGCTTTGTTGTTCTCCTTTCGAAAAACAAAGGTATTCCGTACAAACATATTTAAAACAGTTGTATTACAAATAGTTTTTAAAAATTACAAAATTGTTAGACCTAGAGATATTTAAAAACTTTCTCACAAATGATAACGCGGTATATTATCTATCGAATTTACTAATTCAAGTCTTATAATTTAAACACAGAATGCTATTTTTGTACAGAAAAATGATCAAATATAAACGTAGCATCATGTATTACTGATCTTATCGCATTGTTAGTAGCAGTTAAAAAATAAACTTGCTTACAAGAGCAAAGTGATCGAACGCTTATTGAATTGTCCATCAAACGATGTTGTTACCTGAACAAGAGCAAACCGTTGCTGTGCGATAATCCAATGAAAGTTTGTTTTTTATGGAATGACTTTTTTCTATCAAATCGTGTACTGTTTATTCTCTTATATATATACTTATTCCATAAGATCAGAAAAGTCATACTACTTTTAACATTTTATATGCAATATTTAACTGTTATTTCGAATATAATAAAAGAATTTTCCTATTTTAATAAAGATACTTTTTATTTATAGCAAAAATAGGTTAATATTAAAGTTAATTTTTTAGTAAATATTTTACAAAAACGTTTTCTTAATGTTGTTAATGTTATTAAATAAATATAAAAACCACAACTAGCTTCAAAATACATACTCATTCGAATAAAAAATGATATCCATTCAGTTTTATATGAATGATTTTTACTTTTTCCAACTTGTATTTCGTATAGAAAATGATATAATGTATATGTACCATATGGTAATAAAGTAAATACATTAACAATAATTTCACTTATAATCATCGACGTTAATTGTTTATCGATTTTTTGTTGAACAGAATTTCTACAACGTATACAATGTGAACACATTTGTGTAAAACGATCTTTTTTTGCATGTTCCTTATATCGTTTAAAACAAATACAAAAAATAGATGAGTGTCGAAGATTATTTAATGTTAATATTCCAAATATAATCATAAATAATGGTAGAAGAAAACAATGAATAACTGATATCCATACAACCCAAAGAATTTTATTACGTGGAATACAACCTTCAGAAGCCGACAGGATTGTAAAATTTAAAATATGATGAATTGATATTAATGCACATAGTACAGATGATATAAAACATAATTTATGAACATGAGGAAAATGATAAAAAATTATACTAAATCGATAACGATTCTTTTGACGTTTATTTCTGTAATAACTAAAAAAGAATCGATTAATTGAAGCAAATACAAGCATTTG